CTTAGATTATAGGGGCCTTAATATTGTGGTTTAAGGTCTATTCCTTAGTTAAGGGGTATTGGGTTGGACCCATCCTGGGACCCTTCTTTACCCGACTATACACCCTTCAGGGGCCCTAGAACCCCCTAAAAGCCCATGTTAGGGGCCATACTTCTAACCTTGGATTCACGACGTTCCTGTTCCCGATGCCTTCTCTGCATCTTCACGTTGCCATCCAGCCCGCGCAGCCTGGAGTACCGATGATCAAGCTAAGCTGCTGCTTTAGGGTTTAGGGTTTCATGGTCGGTGGAGAAACAGGCGCCCTTTTTCGGAAGATTTGTGGTGGCCACGCAATTTCCGCAAGTGCTGTTGCCTCAGCTGCCGGATGGCCCGCACCATTTGGGCTACCGAACTTAAACTGTGTGTGGGTGCATGCAATGGCAAACATGTCATCAAGATCTCGAGGCCCGAGGCTGGAGAAACTTGCGGCCCACATGGCTGATGTCTTGTGCATTTTGCACATGACACTGATGCCGCTCGCGGTTTGAGGCTCACGGTTTAGGGTAGGATTCCCATCACGTTGTGTGGCGATTTCCATGATTGCTTGTAAAGACTACTTGGAGGTTCATAGGTGGTTATCAACAGGTTTATATATAGGATAACTAGAGTGATGACCTACATTACGGGACTTATAACCCCACTTATCTATACCCATGAACCTCCAAGTAACCTTCATCTTAAACCTCCAACCACGAGCCCACAGCCTTTAAACCGAATTCAACAGCTCAGACTCGAACCGGGGGGCCCTGAACTCTCACAGTGTCGTCTGCCTTCCGAGGGAGCTTTTTGATGTAAAAACTAGCAAATGATGCTTATTAGGGTTCAGCGTCTAGGGTGTAGGGTACAGGGTCTTGGGTTCAACAAGTTTCTGGGCTTTAGGGTTTAGGGTTTTGGAAACCAACCCTGATAGCATGACGACCGTCAACTTCAGCTGGGTGCGAGGATGATCAGGGCGCCCTCCATGACGGCCGACAAGGGGTGCGCTCGCCTGCTTTGGGTTCGGTGATTTTTGCGTTGAAGATCCAACGCCTTTAACCCTAACCCCTAAACCCTAAACAAACCCTAAACCGTTAACCCTAAACCTGAAACCCTGAACTCTAAACCCTAGAAAAAGGCCTCCACATAAAGACACGAAAGGTCGATTCAGGCACCTTTTTGAAGAAGTCCCTGTTTAGTGGCACGGGAATAAGTGCCCTATCTTCCCCACAAGGACAATGCCTGTTGTGCTACAGGGTGTACTTGGAGATTCAGGGTTTAGGGTTTAGGGTTTAGGGTTTAGGGTTTAGGGTTTAGGGTTTAGGGTTCGTTATAAGCATAGGGTTATAACACTGATAGTTATGGAGATAGCCTACATTACGGGACTTGTAACCCCACTTATAACTACCCATGAACCTCCAAGTATAATTATATAAGGCATAAGAAGGGTTTTAACTTTGGGGTTCCACTTTGCCGGTTTAGCGGTTTACGGGTTTGGGGTTTGGAGAGGTTTAGGGTTCAGGGTTTGGGGTTTGGTTTCTAGGGGTTTAGGGTTTGGGGTTTAGGGCTTGCGCTCAGGCGCTCTTCCTATGGAGCCACGTGGGTTCGTTTGAGCGAGAATTGTAGTTGCTGGAGATCGTTGCGGAAGGAGCCACAGCCCCAGAGGGCGTTTTTCTTTTTAACGAAGCAATGACCCAAGACCCATAGAGCTTCACTCGTCCCCGAGGCTTTTCCTACCAATCCAAAGCCAACCCTAAACCGTAAAATCTACCCACGAATTCAAACCAGGGGGGACATGCAAGCACGGATTCTACCAAAGAAGGTCCTAGGGTAGGGTAACCCTAAACCCTAGCCCCTAAAACCCCCCTAAAACCCCTCAAAAACTCCTAAAAACCCGAACCCCCCCCCCCCTAAAAGCCCTTAAACACGAAACGCAAAGGACTTCTACCGAAACCCAAACCACTCAAAAACCTCAAAAATCCTAACCCCCCCCCCTAAAAACCTCTAAACCCGAAACCCAAAAGACTTCTACCGAAACCCGACGAATCTGAACCCCCCCGAACCCAGACCTTCGCACGGAAAAAGGCAAAAGGGTTTAGGGTTTTAGGGCTTTAGGGTTTAGGGTTTAGGGTTTTGGGGTTTTAGGGTTTAGGGTTTTAGGGTTTTAGGGCTTAGGGTTTAGGGTTTAGGGTTAAGGGTTTCAGGGTTTAGGCTGTTTAGGGTTTAGGGTTTTGGGGTTTTAGGGTTTAGGGCTTGCCAACTGAAGCGGCGCGCCTCGACCCAAGGGGGTCGTCCACGGCGCGTCGCGGGAAAGCTAAAACCCCACCCCAAGGCCACCCTGTTCCTTTCACATCGGGTTTTTGGTTTTTGTTTA